TGTTGGACATGGAGCACTTAACTCTTAAATGATTTGAGAATGTTAATTAAACGGTTTCTCAGAGTGTGGTTTTTAGGATACACAAGGCTAATACTAGCTGATGTGACGTTAGCTTATAACTATCTTGCAACAATATGAGGAATAAACATCAAGTTGTGGACTTTTTTATTTTTTTATTAGAACCAGTTCAAGAGATTTGGCTTGAGGTGAGAACGAAAAGGTGGAAATAAAGTAGAAAGATGTAACAAAGACATGATGAAAATGTTATTTGGGCATATATAGTTTGAAAGAGCTCTTTGTGATCTTTAAATTAAAGATAACTTATAAGGCAAACGGTTTGTGGTGGCTCTCCAGTCAAATGCATAACAAGATTAGCCACGAAAAGCTTGCTAGCAGACAATATTACACACTGTTAGTGTACATTAGAGGTTATTTAATAGAAATGTTACAGTTTTGATCATTTTTAAAAACTAAAATGGAATGAAACTTAATATTGAAATGCACCAAGTAAATAAGTAATGTCTTTCAAGTATACTCCAGTCAGGTTGGGTTATGTTTGCAGGGCACCATGGAGAGGCTATTAGGAAAGGGAGGGGAAGAGTCCCTGGCTGAATCTGCATCCTCAGAACAGATCGCAGCACCACATGGCAACGATAAATGTAAAAGACAACCGCTCGCCTCGGGTGTACTAAACAGACTGTGCAGGATATTGTCAGGCCCAAAAAGTGCAAATGGTGGTGATGAACACTGCTCTGGGACACCATAAAGTAGATTTAGGACTGTAGACCAAAAGTTTTGCGGATGACAGCACAAACGTATAAATTGAAGGTCAGACTTTGTCAAATTTGCTTTCCTAACAGTTTTTATATTGTTTTTCTTGTGACTTGCTGTTTACAGGTAACAGGTATGAGTAATCATTCATTATAATTATATTTATTTGGAATACAAATTTGTTTGTTTAATTGGTAAAAACAGATGTTGATTAAAACCTGTGAAAAAGCAGCCACTGTGGATACTCCCTTGAAAATTCACCAAAATTATGTTTTTCATGAAATAAAATCACCTTAATCTCTGTTTATTTCCTTTTATTTCCACTGGTAGTTTCTGACTGGATAGTTCTGAAAAGCATCTCTAAAATAATTAGTTTTGTTATGATGGTTAGTCCACATTTTGCAGTTTTGTCTCGTAGATGATCCTCATCTGATTGCATTTGTTATATATAATAAATGACTGCAGACCATATGAGATTGTGTATACATTGTCCTCAATGTGGTAGAGCAGCAATGTTTCAAGGTCTCTGTAAGAGTGAATAACAGTAAAATCTCTGGTGTGTTGAAATGGCAGCTTGGTGTTGTAAAGAGAAAATTGATCTTTTTTCGCTTGTTTTGCCTCTTTCAGAAGACCAAATTCAGAAGTTACATTTCTCATGTTAATGTTTCGATCACTTAACTACTGCACATGTTGCAGGGTCTCTACTTCTGTGTGCCAAGCTTGATGGTGCATCACACTGATCCTTTTTAACACTGGGAAATGTGTTATGTCAGCTAAGCTGGAAAAATGGGATTTGTTATGCTTTTGAATGGTGGATGCTCATATATTATATTATATTATATTATTAAATATATTAAGCTAATCTTTCAAGTAATGCACTCAGCATATGTGCAGTATTTTCTACTCTCATCTGCTTCAGTCTATCAGACAAGTTGTGAGGCACTAATATGACCTGGTACATGTTGGGCAAATGGAAGCATGTAAAATGCAAACACATCCGGTGACTAAAGAAGCAGCAGTGGCTCCACCGTTATCTGCACAGCTGATGTTTTTTGAGGGGGGGCACTAGGTGTCCAATTGGCTGAGTCTGAATGTAGCCGTTCAGTACTTCCTCCTCAGAATTTGTTTATGGATTATCTGGGTTTTTCCTGCAGAGAGGAAGTTTTGCCTTTTTCCCCCAAGAGGCTTGAACCAGAGCTAAAGGACAGTTGTCAGCATTGGAGTTTGAGTTAGTCAAGCATGAGCATCTTTCTTCTCAAATGATCAGAACCAAAAACAAGGTGTTAAAATGCAGAAAAACAGATAAAATAAAAACCTTTTTAAGCAGAGTTCATTTACTCAAATAAATGTAACTATTATGTAAATGACCAGAATTACAAATACCAAAGCATCATTTAAAGTAGCCCAGCCCTTCATTGTCTTCATGAACATTTTTTTTTTGTGCAGTCACGTAAAAACAAATGCACTCGTGGTAGCATGTTATCACAGATTTGGTGCATTTATTCCTGACAAACTGTGGTCACCTTCCCAAAGCCCATCTAAGCTAGGATAAATGTGATTATACAACGGTAACGGACTTATTAGGGATTTTTTTTGGCAACAGACAAAGTTCAGCTGCTTTGAATAACGGACCAGTTACTGACTCATTCACTTACTTTATCAACCTTCTCTGGCCATTAATACTCCCCCCCCCCCCCCAAAAAAAAAAAAAAAAACCTACTGTTGTATGTCTGACAGCCGTGGGGAAAACGATAAACACGCCCTCTCTCCGGAGAGCTGTTGTACGAGGCCAGCAGCACGTTGCCTTGTTGACAAAATGCCTTCCAGTGGCTTGGTGCCCGGCTCTGGGCCAAAGGCTCTGCAGCTCCGACTCTTCAGACAAACAGCCCGCCAACAAACCAGTTAGTCAGTCCTGCAGCCTGTCTGCCTGCCTTCCTGCTTTCCGCCTTATTCCCTCAGCAAGCTTGCAATCTTGGCAGCAGTAGGCTTCCATCTCTTATTTACCTGCCATGAGGCAAAAAATGTTGTTAGCCTCCATTTCTGCTCTCAAGATAATGATTGGATCGTTTAGCTAAAACTTGTACTTCTAGAGCCAAATTGTTATTTCTTGTTTTTATTAGGATCCAAACTACATATGTGTTTTATATGTTTGAATTTTTGTTTTTGGTTAAATTTAGTTTGAATTAGTTTCCAGTGTGAGTTTCATTGTTTATTTTCATTTTAATTTGTGCAGAGCGCATTTCTCTAAGTCCATATTACAATAAAGGCTTGTAGTAGCAGTCAAGTTTGAAAAAACAAAAGCACCAAAACAAATCCTTTGTGAGGAGTTGTCTTCAGTTCTTTTCACATAATGTTTGGCTAGTGATTTAAAGACACACAGGTAATAATAATCATTTAAACTTATTTGGTGACCTGTTTTTTCCTGATGCATTTCACTTCACTACTAACTGTTGCCAATGTTTTTAAACTGGCTTGCATTTTGAATGTATGTAAAGCATATTCATCACTGAATAAGCTGTACTCATTCAGTGGAGCTGACATCAAACTAAAAATAAACAGGAAATGTCTTTAGTCTTTGATCAACTTTTCCAACAAAGTAAGCATGAGCAGGCACTGATGGTTATGTTGATACTGAGCTGTGTACAAGACTGACAGTTAGCTGTGTTCAAGAAGTGTTTGTTTTGTCATTTTTGGAGCTTGTGCATGTCTGGTTTCCTCCTGGAACTGAGTTTGCAGGGTTACAAGTTCTTTACAGTCACCCCAGCTTTCAGCTTTTCTAGATATCGCCTGATAGAAGTGCGTTTTAGAATTAAACCAGTTCATTTGGATGTTGGTCGAACTTTAACCTGTCAGTTCCCAAGTACAAAGACTGTGCCAGTAGCTGGGGTTGGCTTACTCTAGTGCATAACCTGCTAGCCCAAACCATACCACACTGAGAATTTCCAGTAATGCCTGCATGCAAGAGAATATTACTGCAGTTGTCCAAATTCATGTGTATTTTTAATGTGGTCTTGGGGTGTCTTAATTACAGAAAAAAATTGCAATTATTTTGGTCTGGATACTTTTATTTAAGCAGATTTCCTTGGCTTTACGTTCCCCTCCATTTGAATCATAAGGGTGAATTCAAATTAACAGAATCTCAAAGTCTGGAAAGTTTGTTTTGGACTTGAGGCAAAAGTAAAAGGACGTGTTTAAAGGGAAAACAAGACAATTATTGCAAGTGTTATGGCACAGTGATAGTTTTGATTATCTTGTTTTTGCTATTGAAGACGAAATGTAATTTCAATTAAAATTTGATTGCACAGCTCTGTGTGTAAAGGATATCACATTTTATTTTAAGTAATACACGCACTGGTCGCAAGTTTGTTGTTCAATATTTTTCGTGCTTAGCTTTGAATGAGGTATACAAATAAGTATTTATGGAGGGATCTGTTGGTTAAAATATGCTTGAATGAGATGATCGACTGAAGCGGTTTCCCTTGTATTTGACAATCCCTGGACAAGCAAGGTCAGGTTATAATTATGCATATGAGAGTATTACGTGACCATACTATCGCTTGACCCATACCAATGTTGATATTTCTAAAATGTAAATAGTCTAATTTCTATGAACAACTTCTGCATCTAAATTCTGTAGGCATTAGATGAGATGTTTAGTTCTTTCCATTTGAGTCTGGTACTGGCCATCACATTAGGAGTTTGCAAACAGAAGCAGAAATTCTTGCCTGAATATCTGCTGGCTATATCAGAAGTTTTAAAGTTAGGTTAAGTATCACAGAAGCTGAAGTCTGATTAGACGCAATCCACTGGGTATGGATTTCTATTCTATAGTTAATTTAATACTGTGTGTTTGCCTAGCAAGGTACAAGCAAATTAACTCGTTGCCAAATCTGGCACAAAGCATTCTTTCTGCTGACGTCATGAGTTTTTTTTTTTTTTAAATTAACCTAATATTTTATTTTATCATCGTCAAAGCATTCTAAGAATGAAATTTTACAGTTAAAACAAAAACAAACCTTTAAAATGGCCTTAAACCTAACTCGACATGTCTGTCCTTCAGCTCGGAGATCATATCGGTTGATAGTTGTTTTTGACAATGTTTACAAAGCATCAGCATTGATATTCTGTCTCTTGCCTTCATATCAGCCTGCTGATTTCAAGAAAAGTACTTTGCTAAGTTTTGTTTTGAAGAGGACATCATCCTCACCTCGTCTCCGTGTTTCTTTTAGGAACACCATCTCCAGCGGGCCATCTCGGCACAGCAGGTCTATGGCGAGAAGCGGGACAACATGGTCATCCCAGTACCGGAGGCGGAGAGCAACATCACCTATTACGACTCCCTCTACCCTGGAGACTTCAAGATGCCAAAGCAGCTAATTCACATACAGCGTAAGTGGGCTTCTCTAATGGAAAGTTTGTGATGCAGAGAAAATGAGTGTGATGTAGCAGATTAGGGGCCCCAGTTGTTTTCATTAGCCTATAATGGCGTTCCCTTCATTTATTTCAAATGTGTTAAATGACACGTGGGGGCTTGCTGAGCAAAGATTATACGCTGCAATGAGTTGAACACTTCACATCAGTGTTACTTGCTTTTCTAATTTGAAAATTGTCACTCATGTTATTAGATTTACTTTCCCCTCAGCTCTGTAGCCCTAGAGTTTTTCCAAGAAGCAAGGGGGGAAAAGGTGACCTGAACTGACATTTAAATATATCCTGTATTGAAAGCAAGCCACTTAATAAAGTAGAAAGTTGGCTGCTACTTAGAGTGTAAAATCCCAGCCAGTTTAGGTGATTGAGATCTTTTATCACTTTTATTGGCATTAAGCTTTGTTAGCTTGAAGTTGTCATGTTTTTCTATATAACTCAAGATTGCCTGTTCCAGTAGTGAAATTGGAGGAAATTATGTTGCTACATGGCTTCGTTTAGTAACCATGGCTGCGTCACAAGTGGTTTGCTGTGATTGTTTCTCAAAAGAAAAGCAATTTGCTGTACCTGAAACATACAATGTTATCAAATGACATGTTTTGTCTAGTTAGAGAAAACCTTGAAATTAGTCTGAGGCTTGGATGGGTTGAAACAAGTAGAAAACCCAGTTTGCATCAGTCTTGAAAGTTTAGTGTTTATACAAAAGTATCTAAAATTCTACAAAAGCAGGCCTGCCATTTTCCATGCATATAAAAACCTTTTATATATTTAAGTCAGTGGTGTGAAAAGATGCTGAATGCTAAAAATGTTCAAATTAATGGCCCTGGCTGGTGAAAGTGAATTTGCCTTTTTACTCTTCAATAACCATCTAGCCCATCTATTGTGCTTAATTGGCATCTCAAGATGAAAGTGAATTGGTGTAATTAAATCTGAAGTGAGGGTTTCATTTTAAAGCTGAAACTGCAAATACTTTGATCTACACATTTTGTTCTGCAGGTATAAGTTCAGTTAGCATAGATGTTTTAATTTGATTTTGGCAGATGCGCCTGCATAAATGCTGCTGGCTGTGAGGTCTCAGGAAAAATAAATGTGGTTATTTGAACGTCTGAGATGAGACTCCTTGGCTTTAAACAAACTACAAGAATGCAAATTCGCTTCAGATTCTGTTGTTAATGAACTCAAAATGACTTTTTTTGTATTCATTTTCTTTGTGAAGCTGTGGTGCATTTGTGGCCCTCCTGAGAGCCCAGAATTAGATCAGTAAGATCAAGCTAGGGTGTCAACCATGTGGCTTAGCCTGCTAAAGGATTCAGTCCAGACCACTTCAAGGCTTACCAGTAACATCAATAATCGTTTTTCCAGTAACATCCCTGGTAAGATGATGTTTGAATTGCTACATACTTACCTGGGAAGTTACTTTTCGTGTGTGTGTGTCTGCCTGGTGACTCAAACAGGCTAACAATAAACAGACTTCCATGTTTCAATGCAGCTAGCCAAACAAGGAAGAACCACTTACTGCTGTTCTGTAATGGCACAAGCTTGTGCTTAACATGTTTAAAAACCTTTAAGCATTTCTTAAAAGCTTTACAGACAATGTTAAATCAGTGTCTGTTTTTAGGAGCAGGGATCCATGGTGTAACTTAGACTTTATACATGCAGTGTTTCATGTCCACTTTAAGTGGTACACGGGCATCTTTCTGCTTTGGCTCTCAATTGGTCAGGGCCTTGCTTTGATGCAGGTTTTCGAAGCAGTTTTATGGCCGCCTCGGATTAAAAATGGTTTACTGTCATAAACGCACATTTTGGACAAAAGCAATGTGTATGGTTACTTAAGGTCATTGGTTGATGCCTGCCTCCTGTACATCAGGGCGGTTCAGATGCCACATGGCTTTAGGGTTGCATCCTCGTAGTGCTTTCTGAATGGAAACTGCTTCGGTGATACTGATGTTTAAATGGCATATAACAGATTGGCCTAAAAATTTGAGGTGGGAAAAGGGAGCAGTAGGCGTAACGCACTGTGTCAACACTCTACAACAAACACCCAGATAATCTTTACTGTTCACTGGTTCCACTCGGTCTCCAGACAGCCCTTCCTTCCAGTTGTCTGAAATGGCAAATCTGGTGTAATTAAGCCTGATAATCATCCAGTGCATCCCCAGCCTTCATGTCCAACAGCTGCTGAACACTCATTTATTCTAGTTAACGCTTTAATTTTGGATTATATTTTATGCAGCAGGTGTTTTGTTGCTGCTTGGGCCATAATAATAATTGGTTATATTCCCCTGTACAAAACTCTTTTTTTTTTTTCTTTCTTTCTTTTTTTTTTCAGCGTTAGAATAAACAGTAAGAATTGTTTGGAATCCAAACAGATGCTGAACCAAATGAGTGGAATGAGTCCATGTTACCTGCATCTTGTCTGTATGTTTTAGTGAGACCAAAGCAAGCTTGTGTGAACTTGTCCAGAAACAATCTAAATGCTTTGTATCGTTCCTTGTAGTTAAATAAAAATAAACGTATTTATTTATTTGTTGCCTCCCTCATGCAGCTTTCAGCTTGGACACAGAGCAGCCGGATTACGACCTGGACTCAGATGATGAGGCCTTTGTCAACAAGCTGAAAAAGAAGATGGAGATCAGCTACCTGCAGTTTGAGGAAATGATTGACCGGCTGGAGAAAGGCAGTGGACAGCAGGTTAGAAGTGTAAAAAACTTTTTAAGACTGCATTAGTTACTAACACTGACTTGAAGCCACTGATGGCAGGCAGTGTCAGATTTGTCACCCTCACTGCTCTCTAACGTGATTGTATTTATCTCTTTGTTGCCCTCGCAGGCTGTGAGTCTTCCTGAGGCCAAACTGCTGCTGAAAGAGGATGATGAGCTCATTAAAGAGGTCTTTGACTACTGGAGCCGCAAGAGGAAAAACAGCAAAGCCAACTCCCTCATCCCCACCGTCAAGCAGGAGAAACGGGACGGCTCAAGCACCAGTGACCCTTACGTGGCCTTCCGACGACGCACTGAGAAGATGCAAACTAGGAAGGTCGGTGCTCTCAATTACTGTTGCTAATTTTTAGTTCTGCATTTCTGCAGTCCTATACAATCAGTGTTGCTTTTGGGGATTGTTTTTATTTCTTATCCCTGTTTATTGTAAATTTCGCTTCACATCTTAGAACCGTAAAAACGACGAGGCCTCGTACGAGAAGATGCTGAAGCTTCGCAGAGATCTCAGCCGAGCCGTCACAATCCTGGAAATGATCAAGAGGAGGGAGAAGAGCAAGCGAGAGCTGCTGCACCTCACACTGGAGATTTTTGAGAAGAGGTAAGCCAGTCTCGAAGTTGCACCCACAGGACGTTGCTACATAAGTTAAAGCACCTTGATAGCAGATTCTTATTCACTTGTTACTACTTTTTTTTTTTTTTTTTTGTGGACTTGTTCCAAATTAAACGACTTTGAAATGCCTCACCTTTAGATTTATGAAGTTATCCTCTCCTTTTCATCCAGAAATGTCATGTCAGACTTTGGTGGTGAGGTTATGGCAGAAGTTCTGGCTGAAAGGGCACTGGTGAGGCCACAAATCATCCCCCTGGTCCCACTCACCAACCAGTACCGACACCAGGACCATATGGACCTCAAGGACTACAAGTCCAAGGTGAGCCCGTAGGAAAAAAATTGTCTTACAAAAAAGACAAAGGGGGAAAAAAAACATCTGATGAATTAGTTAAAGTTGCTTATATCCAGAATTGAAGGGTCAGTGGCATTGTTGCAGGTCGTGTTTTTAAACCACTGACCTGCTTAAAATGCAACCAAGAAGGAAAAGTGGAAATGGTGGTATGAAAAGTTAATATAATGAATCTTTTAAGAGGAACACTGCACAAGATAAAAGGCTGCCCTTGGGCTGCGGTCTCTAAAGGTGTACTTTAAAGTGCCTCTGCAGTGTCATTAAGTTTGGCCGCTCTCCCTCTTGTAGCCTGAGAAGACAGAAGTTCCCCGGCAGAAAAGGAAGTATGAGAAGAAGCCGAAGGTGCTGCCACCATCATCAGGCACACCCCACCATACAGGTCCGGTTGTCTTCAACGCCAAGGACCTAAACCAGTACGACTTCCCCAGCTCGGATGATGAGCCCTTTTCCCAGGTACCTGCACGCTTAAGCAAATGCGCTCATTCATGTAAAGCCAAGCATGTTACGCAGATCAAGCTTGGGACTTTTTCCTCAGAGAAATTCTTTGCACAACATTTTTTTTCCCTGTAGTTTGACTTTTTGCATGGTGCCACTGGGTTATTTCCAGTTTGCATGGTTTTGAAATAGTATTATTATTTTAATTTTTTTTTTACAAAGTGGCAGCAGCTGTTATGCTGCGATAAGGTTCATTAGCTACAAAGCCAAAAGAACAGGTAAGGTTTTTACACAGCAGGAAGAATTGGGGGGGGGCACCTGTCTGTATTAAGCTTTTCTTTTCTTTTTTTCTTTTTCTTCCTCTACCTGAAAACTGATCAGATACCAGAAAATATGTTTTTCTGGCTGCATATTGTTTGGTGCTTAATAGAAAACATAGATAGGGAGTTGTGTAGGTACAGAACCCAAAGGATGCTAAAGAGGGCTATGATTTAAATCAAAGATTTATATACTTGAAAATTATTTTTAGGATCTAAACTCAAACTGAAAGATTTGAATCACTGCCAGGCAATTGCTTCACTGTAGAACCTGCAGGGTCACCGGGGGCTGGAGCCTATTGCTGCTGTCATAGGCACAGCCAGACTCATTTTATAATCATTGAAAGGGGAGGAAAAAATATCAGGGTAAACCTGCATAAAAGCTGTTTCAGTACTCAGTTCAGCTTGAGTGAATCTGGGCTTTAATTTAAAAAACAGAAGTCCTTAGGGAATAAAACTCGAAAGGATTCTCATTGGCTGCCTGCAGTTCCCTCTGTTTCCAGATCAGTGTCTCTCACCTGGTCCATTTTGGGTAGTGTGTGACAGTTTGCAGCCAGTTTTGTCTTTCTGCTTGCCCTTTGGCTACCGTGTAGGCCTCCTGAGGGAGTGGAGGTGTGCTGCCGCCTGGGCCTTCATCATACACGTCTGCACTCGCAGACATGCTGTGACAGAGAAAGTCAAACTCCAAGTCGGGTCCTTGCTTTGTACTAGATGACCTCGTTCTCCTCCGCCTTTATTTTTTCCATTTGTTTTTCATTTTAAAGTTTGAGGAAGTACTCGGTGAAAAGATGTTACATTTTGCCCCAATCTATTGAGTTTGGGGCAAAATGAGACTACAGAAATAATCCTCCACTCTCAGAAAATTGATTTATTCACTGTTTAAAAAAAACTTTTGTTTTGGGGTTTGTTTTTTTTTGAATAGTGTAAAAAGACATCATCTGTCTTCTGTTGCTTAAATATGAAGTACAACACATACTGGAAACTGTTCCCTCTTGTCTCTGCAGCCACTTGGCTGTGCACTACGGCCTCTTCTTGTCTCCACTACCGCTGCTAAACTCTGCCCTTTTTCTTCAACAATCTTCTCAAAATTGCCAAACCATGTTTTATTTTTTAAAATAAAATAAAAAAAATTAACAAAGGCTTCTGGCTTCAGTACTATAACTTCTGCTCTTCAGCTGACCTTACGCTGACCTCTGACGTCTCTCATCCACAGCTGCACTCAGGCTCATCAGAAGCAGAGGAGGAGAATGACCCAGATGGTGCCTATGCCTTTCGCAGGAAGGCAGGCTGCCAGTACTATGCTGTAAGGAACATTACCTTTTGTTCCTTAGAATACCTTAGTTTTCTGTAAGGAATAATGAAAATTAGTATTACATGTTTAAGGAAACCCTTACTATGTTGTAAACATAACTTGAACAATGCTATCCAGTACTGAAGTCAATATATTGGGGCATGTAGTTCACTGATGAGATTGCAGATTGATTCTAAACTGCAGAGGTCAGATATATTGAACCCAGAGACCTGCAAGAACGAGTGGAAAAGGTGAACTTAAGTGTCCTGTCTGTCTTCGTAGGCTCGTCAAGATCGGGTGGGTAGCTGGCCGTGGTGTGGACAATGGGAGGGTGGTTTGGCAGAAGCTCGCTTTCGCTACAGTCTCACCACAGTCACCATGCCACGACGATGCCTGGGCATGGCTCGACGGCGCGTGGGACGAGGCGGCAGGTGAGTTCACTTACTGCAAAGTGCTGGCATTTGAATCCAGCTTTACATTCTGTGCTCGTCTGTCTCATCTGTGTAGATATCTACAAAGCAAAATCAGCTAAACTTATCACTTTTAGTTGTTAAACCCTTTTCTCCCTCTTTTTCTCTCAGGGTGTTGCTGGACAGAACATACACAGACTTTGACAACATTTTCCATGGACTGGATCCAGACATGCTTGACCTGCCTGTTCCTCAATCTCCTCCTCCTCCTTCTCCTACTCCTGCAACTACTTCACGCGCACCGGCCACCGACAAGTTTGCCAGTACCTCAGAAACAAATACCTCGGAAAGAAGTTCCTCCTTCAGTTCCTCTCTTTCCCCATCCTCCCCCACTTCCACGGACCTCAGTCAGATACTGTTGAATATAAAGTCGTGCCGATGGAGGCACTTTAGACCACGGACACTACCACTACATGAGCTGGACAATGCCCACCCTCTATTCAGGAGGCTGAGCCGAAGCCTGAAGCGCCCACTCTCGGCCTCCACCACCGGAGGGCAACCCTTTGGCTCCCAACGTCCAGGGAGGGTTGTCCCTGCACCCACACCCGTTGCTGGTAAGTGGCTTATCTGACTGTAGACAGACACTGTTGTGTTCTCTTTGGGCTGTGTTGGTTTCATAACTTTATACCCATGGAGACGGTAAGATACCAGCTACTTAGTGTTAGATATTGTTAGCTATATAGTGGTTTGTTTGTAATTGGCAGTTTTTCATCAGGCAGTATAAAGATGGCTCTCGATCTGGAAAGTAAAGCAAAGGTGAAATGTCCTTTTAATCCCTCTGTGGTTTCAAGAATTCCACTTGTATAAAACTCAGCTGCTCGAGCTCAGGATGCAATTTTTCTCCCATATTTTTATTTATTGTGGCGGGTTTTGCAGTCAGGGCTGGGCTAGGTATATGTCAGGGCGAAAAGGAAGCAAAGCCAGACTTAATAAGGTCTGCACAAACTAAATGGTAGTCCTCAGTAGTTTTGGCATGTCAGTGCTTGAACTAGCTCTCATCCTATTGCATTTTCAGGATAGCATGGTCCTCAAGTTGAGAGCAGAACAAAGACTGTCTTCCAATTTGCAATCCAAAGCAATGGAGTTGGGAGTAGGCCAGCAGGAAGGTTCTCGTTACTAATGACTAAACATTTAAAGTAAGAGCACTTTCAGTGGTATGACAGTCATGGATGCCGTTCGCTTGGAGAGTTTGAAAAAGTAACGGTGACAAAGTGAGTCACCAGCTGGCTTGTTCAGGACACATGTCCAAGTGTGGTTGATTTTTAATCGAATGTTTGCAGCTTTTAATTTCCTAGATTTTCATCAGAATTCCTTGTTTTGTGGCTGTGCTTCAATAGCAAGTATTTCTATATATTTTATTTTATTTTTTTGTTTATTTAGAACAGCTGTTGCTTTGGGGGTAACACTGTATCTACCTTTCATTCCTTAAGGTGTCAGTTAAAGCAGGATTTCATAAATGAATTCATGACATGCATGAATTTGACGAAGAGACGAAATGCCACAGGTCCCCGGTGGTTTTACTGTGAGGGCAGTCAGGCGGCGGGTGTCTTAATATTGCTGCAACTTGTTTTGATGTGCATGAAAAAAAACAAGCTGCTTATTGATTTTTCCAGAAAAGGTTCAGTGAGAACCTGAAAGACTGATATAATTAACATGGATCTTTCAAGAAACTCTACTAATATGTATTGTGTATGAGCAAATGTGACAGCTGCACTTGTTGTTTAAGTAGTTGATTTTTGATTAAATTACACTGTGTTAGATTTCAAGAAATAAAAATGACACGTGCTCCAGATGGAGGTAATGCCACAGGACAAGCTGTGACTTGGAGATGTACGCAGATTGTGGATCTTATGAAACTGAAAAGTGAAAAGCACACAGGGAATGGATACATCAATAATGCACTGATGCACATAATGCCTTTAAAACATGAGATGAGGACTTTTCAGTTCAAACACTAATGAAGAAGAACTTATGGCCATGTTATCTACAGCTAAAAAACTTTGATTCAAATACTAGGGTGGATGAAATATCCACAAAAACATGTTCAGGTTTTCTTTGGCTCTACAACACCTAAAATGTCAGATATGACTGGTTTCATGAAGGAGTTTGACATTGACTCAGGCTTTCTATTTCAGAAACTGGACATTTGCTTAGAGGCATATTTTACTCTTCACCTTAAAACGGAACGATTTCCCCCTGGTGTATTTAATTTGCAATGCCAATCCTATTGATGCCATTAATATCTAACTTATCTAACAGTTTAAATCTATTAATCAGCTGTCCTGTAGCCGTAGATATGGATATCACTTCAGATTAAATACTGACTTGAGTTTTGCCACTAATAACGTCCTATAAATAGACTAATTTGATCCAATGCAAATGGGCTTGGCAGCTAATTAGGACCAAGTATGAAAACGTATTCATGCATTTATTGGGTGCACATTTTATGCTGTTGTGCCTGGCAGGGCTTTATTTGCTGGCGTTCATGACATATGGCTCAACTGATACTTTTGTTTCTGTAGGGATTTAGCCTGGTTGAGAGAGCCACCTGTGACATTAAAAACTCCGTCTTTAAACTTGTCAACTGTATAATCTTGCTTTGTAGTAAACCTCAGTTGTCAGACAGGAAATCTGAGAATATATTTTCTGGAGTACCCTGGGTTTACCTGAATATGGCCAAAACGATTTATTTTCCTACCACATATACTCAAAACTGAAAGAATCAAAGCTGGAATGTTTTATTGTAGTACAAAAGCCACCTGGAGAGTAAATGGATGTACTCATTACCAAACATTGGTCTGACTTTTCATTAGAATGCATTGCATCACTAAAAACTCACTGGTGCCCAAAAAGTGTTAAAAATAATTCAGGAAACGATGTAGTGGTTTTGCTTTGTTCATAGTGAATTGGTTTCTGGTTCGGTCATTCATTTATTCATGAGCACAGTTTGCAGTAAGGTCTGCAGCAGAACAGTAAAATCCAAGACTGAAGATGCTCCTTCGTGACTGAAGTCTTTGGCCTTTGTTGTACTCACTGTTGTTTGCTTCCCTGCTGACTTATCAAACGAGGCATATTGAGTGGGTGTGAGTTGACAGAGTTGTTGTCTGTGTGTTGCTGTTTGATTCAGACTGTTGCAGCAGCTTACTTTTCTTTCCCAAATATGGTTTTTATTCATCCAAAAGCAGTTGAAAACAAATATTTGACCAACTTTCTATTTTCCCAAGAAGATAGAAAGTTGGTAGCTATACATTAGGCACAATGTGTCATGGACAGTGTATCTGAAAGGCTCCGTATGCATCATGTGGTGGGTATCTTGACCTGGGTTTAAGGTTTAATGCCAACCTGCCACCACTTGGCTCAAATATTCTTTGTGTCAAAAGATCTGTCTGTTTTATGATTGGCAATTTGTAACACTGTTTTTGTTTCTCTCAGCTTTCACAGTTGAACAGTACCAGCAGCATCAGGAGCAGCTGTCCCTGATGCACAAACAGCAGCTGGAGCAAGTCCAGCAACAGCAAGCCAACAGCGCCACCACTGCCAACAGCACACAGGTCAGCGTGCAGATCAACTGCACAGCAGCAGACAGTGATCTGAATTTATATATTTATATAATATATACTTTTTGATTGAGCCCCCGTAATCTTCAAATCATGTAAACTTGTTACTCTTGGTCTCCTAGCAGACCCTGGCAAATACATTGGACCAGACCAGTGCTCAGTTTGCCGCCTCGGCCCTCGTGACCGCCGACCAACTGCTGGCTCTGAAAACCAAGGAGGAGCTAGGACCAGGAGTCAATGGCGTCCTCTCCCCCTCAGGTATAACGGCTTCCCACACAACCACTGGGTTGCCCAATAGCCTCTTAGCTTTGAAGGCTCATGTTGTAATCACTATTGTCGAATTTAACAAAGGTATATTGGTATTGATGATCCCAAAATTGTTTACTTATCTATTCTAATTCTAGTTATATGTTGAAATTAAAACCAAATTGATTAATTTTTTTCATTTATTTTACAACAGCACTATTAAAATGAAAAGTCCACTTTACCAAATTGTTAAAGTACAGTGACAGTGAAGTCAAGACAAAGCAAACAAAGGGACAAAAGTAATCATAGTACTAACGCCCTCAATACTCATCAACACAAAAGAGCAGATGGCAGCACCATGAAAGTTCAACAAAACCTGCACCAGCAGCACCCCAACGACTGATGCCGCTTCACGGAGGAGTGTTTGCTAGATAACCAAGAAAAGTGACAAAAGGGAATTTAGATTTTCATTAATCTGGAGATGGAAGCGGGGCACCAAGGTGTCCTTCACAGATCAAACTCCTGCAACCTGAAGTCTGATAATCAGTGACTTTTTCTTTGAATACTGATTTGGTGAAAAGGGAAAAAAAACCTCCTGCTTGTACATTTTCTTCTGCCATGCAGAAGATTAAAAACTTTTCCTTGTCAAAGTTTTTAAATTAAAGTTTCTGTTAAGTTGTGCACACAGGTTTCAAAGCCTATCTACAGTACCTCATTTTTTAAGGATTATGATTCACACTTTGAAGGGAGGGAAAAAGCTGCTTTGAAACTTTGTGTACTCAACTTCAAATTGCTGTGCAAATTCAGTGCTTCAAATTCAGAACAGGAGCAGGTTTAAAAAAAAAAAAAAATCAGGTGATAATTAAAACTTCTTCTCCAAATCCTGTTTATTCCAACACCACCCCCATCCCACTCCACCCACTTCAGGTGTCTACAAGGGCTTGCACCTCTCGAGCACAGCGTCCCCGTCCCCTGCCACCCCGGCTCCTCCCACTGCTACAACGACACCTGCTTCGCTCCACCCCTGTACCACCAGCTCCACGTCTGCTACCAGTAACAACAATGGCACCACTCACCCTGCCAACACAACTACCACTAACACCACCACTCAGGTCCTGCTGGGAAATAACAACAACCTACGGCTGAGTGTTCCCGCCACCAAGCGCATCCCCACACCCCGGACACTGAGCACCACCATGTCTACATCCGCCTTAAAGCTCGCCCACGCAGCAGCCGCCAACTGTCAGAAACCCAAGGTCACTACAGCCTCGGCCTCGCCGCTGGACATAGTGCCCAGGTAAGGAAAACTGAAAACACTCGAGGGGTGAAGTGATTTTCCAAACAGAAGGCCGTACCTAGCTGAATAGCACACAGGAAAACGTCAACATTACTCCTTTTAATTTATTACCTTTTACTCAAAGCAGCCATGTCCAACATGGAACACTCTTGAATGTGTATGTTATGAACCTACTGAGTTACCAGCAGAGTTGGCACCTCTCAAAGTTTACATGTTCTTGTGAGCTCAGTTTGTAGTTTAGCTGTCCAGCTTCCACATTGTCTAGTCATTCTGCTCTGTGACAAACGGTTTGTCTCCTTGAGATATATTCCAGGGATGACATGTTAGACCAAAAAAGAAGAGACTTTACTTTTGTATATGAAGCATAGGACTGCTTGCTAAAAGGTTTGCCACCTGTGCCATCTTTTCATGTGTCTGATGAAAATCTGTCCAAAACCAATGTGAGAGCAGCTGTGCAAGATGTTGTCACAAAATTTATGGATGTGCGTAGTTAAGATAAAAAAACATAGATTGGATGCGTACTGAGATGTTGACTGAGCTCAGGACATTACTTCCCTGTCAATGTTTACCTTATAGATCCAACCTGAAAATGTCTTTTGCGGCACCTTTCACCTACATCTTACTCAAGAATAACGTGTCTAATCGCTATAAAACACTTACTTCTGGGCTTTTATTTAGAAATGTGGCACATTTAGATTTTATCTGTTGCTTTTCTAGTTTGTAGAAACATGAGTAAAGATATTGTTTGGCCTTAAAGCAGGCCTGTTGTGCTTAATTTTAAGACAACTGAAGTAACAGGTTTATGCTAGCCTGTCTGTGCTAACAGTTTCCATTTTTGCCCTCAGGGAGAATCATGAACAAGACAAGCCAGCACTGAACAGTCTAACGGACAACACAGTGGCCATGGAGGTTACGTAGCCTCTCATACAC